TATGGCCTTCAAACCAGGAAATAGAGGTGAGAGAGAGGGGAGTAATGCATTTGAAAGCTCGTATATGTCCCATGGGATAAGAGTTGTCCCACATGAGGATAGGGACCTGGGGCTTTAAAGGGTCAAAGCCAAGCAAATATTGGTGAAGCTATTATACCTCCTTAGACCTGAGATATAGTTTTATAGAGTCAGAAATCCCATTATATTGTTCTATAGTATTGCTCTGAGCAGATAATTAAAATTAGGAATCAAATTCAAAATAGAAAATAGAAATCTTCATGGCTCCCAACTCCAAAACATGTTTCTCTACTTTTTAAAAAGTATTATTAATTGTATTACCACCCTCCTACACACCCAAAGTTAAAAGCAACATTTGAACCATTCCTCTCCCCCAGTCTCCTTGCTAAAATGTCAACTCCTAACAATTCTATCTCCTAATATATTTTCCATATGCATCCCTTCCTCCTTTCTCATTTCTGCCGCCTTAGTTTAGGCCCTCATTATCTCTAGCCTGAAACAATTTCCTCAGTGTCTCTCCTGTTCCCATACATCCTACACAGCGCTGCCAGATTAACTTCCTGAAGGATAGCTCTAAATCCATCACCATGTTGTGCTAAAAATTAGTCAATGGTTCTTCCACAGTCTTCGATCTAAAGTACAAACTCCTTAGCCAAGAATTTTAATTTAAAGGGCCTTAGTGATCTGAACACAACCTACCTCTTCAGTCTTATATCCCATATGCATCGTCACATACTTTAAAATAGAACATGAACTGTTGGCTATTTTAAAGGACTCTGCCTGTTCCTTCTGCCTGAAATGTCCCTCCCCCTCCATTTCTGCCTATCCAAATCCTTCATTCTCCAAGACCAGTTAAGACCCATTTCCCTTTAGAACCTTTCCATGGCTTCCTAGGCCAGTGCAATCTATCCTGTAAACTCCTGTAACATTTTATCTATATGACTCTCACAGAACCTATCATATATTAGACATTGAATTAGAGTTCATTTTGTATATATCCTATACCTCTTACAAGAATCTGAACTCTTTAAAGTTAGAGACTATTTTATTCATTACGGGTGCCCCATATTATATAGCATAGGGGTTCTAAACCTAGGGTCCATAGGCCCCAGGAGTCCATCTACAGGATTCAGGGGGCCTTGGATGGTGAACCTGGATGGAAAAATTCTTTTTCACTAACCTCTAATTGAAAATTTGCACTTCCTTAAATTGTGGATGCAGGCAACAAACCAGAAAATATTCATAGTATCTGTGATACTGTACCCAATAGAATTACAGTATATTTTTATATCACACTGTACTGGTTAGTGATATCTCAAAATATCTTTTGTGTTTATCACTACTTTAAAATTTTGATATTTTGAGTCCCTTCATTAGATCTTGTTGTTTGATGCATTAGTAAAGTAGCATTTTCTACCATATCACAAAATTTTAGAATTATTTAATATTTTAATGTAACTCATTTTCTCTGTAATTCTGTGGATTTTACTTTGTGCATTTAAACTAAGAAATAACCTGTAGTCTTCACCGACTACCAAGGAAATCCATGGCCAGAAAAAAATGGTAAGAATCCCTCGGTTCTACTACCACCTTGCAAAATAAAAAGAAAACTTGTAGAAAAATAATCATGATACTATGTAGTTCTTGGTTAGGGCTATTAAAAAAACATATATGATGAACTATGAAATATTGTATAAGCATATTGTTCATAAAAATTCATAGAGCTTTGGTATTAGAAAAAGACCAATCTTCTGTCCCCTAGCCCTATTAAAATGGTAATTAAGATTGCCAAACACCTCCAAGGACAATTTATTATCTTCCAAAGAAGATTATTCCATACATGGACAGGTACAACTGTGACACAGTTAATTTTGTTATAAATGATAATCTGGTTCCTTGCAACTTCTTGTCACTGATCTTCATTCAATCCCTATGGAACTACATAGAATAAACCCAATCCTTCCTCCACATGACTTTACTGTTTAAAGACAACCATCGGGGCGCCTGGCTGGCTCAGCTGGTTAAGCGGCTGCCTTCGGCTCAGGTCATGATCCCAGGGTCCTGGGATCGAGCCCTGCATCAGGCTCCCTGCTCAGCGGGGAGCCTGCTTCTTCCTCTCCCTCTGCTTGCTTCTCTGCCTACTTGTTCTCTCTCTCTCTGTCAAATAAATAAATAAAATCTTAAAAAAATAAATAAATAAATAAAAATAAAGACAACCACCATGTAATCCTTCATCTATTTTCTCTGGGATTAATATTACTAGTTCCTTCAACCATTCCTCCTCTTATTATATAATTGTATGTCTGTTATCATGTCAACTGCTCTCCTCTGAGACTATCCCAATGTTTTTTAGTCCCTCTTAAAGTGTGGTAATTCTCAACTCAACACCATAATTCAGATGCATTGTATTGAGCAGGGAGTTCAATGGGACTACCAACTTCGGAATGCTACATACTGTAATTCTAGTAATGCTGACTGAGACAGCACTACCAAATTTTTGGCAATATTCATCATGCTGACCCCAGTGTACTTTCTTTAAAACTCATAAGTTGTTTTTTTTTTTTTATTCATGTGTCTGCTATTTGAATTTCCTTCAGTAATTATTTGTGCAGCTAGGAGTTTTGGTCACAATCTCCGGACTTAACAATAAATTTATTTTAAATTTATCTATTAAATTTATCTATTAAATTTAATCTTGATGGGTTAGTTTTAAGTTCATATTTTCAGTTTGTCAAAACCTTTTGAGTTTTGTTTCTTTCATAGGTTTTATTCAGTGTTCCTCCTAGATTTGTAGACTCTGTAAGTTTGATGAGCATACTTTTATCATTTCATATTTATACTTAATATATTATATACATTAATACACACTAAAAAAAGCCTGAAATTCTGATACCTAAAATATATATATTACAGAAAACAAAGTTCAGTGAAGTACATAAAAACATTATTTGATAGTAGGAATATAGTGATAAAGTACTCTTAAATGAGAAGTCTCATCTTGCAAGTGCCTCTCTTGTATCAAATCTTTAACCACAATAATAAAGAGGAAGAACAGAAAACTAACCATGACTTGCAAGAGAAAAATTATTTTAAATTTCCTAGGAGTTCACACTGGAAAAAAAAATCATCACAAATCAGTTTCTTTATTTTTGCATGAAAGAGCTCTCTAAGGAATTTTGAAAACCACTTTCTTATAGAACTAAACCATCTTTTTGGTAAATCATAATTAAAATAATCTAGCAATATCACTTATTCAGATTATTGATCTGACAGCTTCATTTATTCTAGAACATATCCAAGTAGGGGAAAATAAAGTGTCTGAGCAGCCAGAAGTCCACAAACAAAAGATCATGTATATTACCCAGAATCTCTCAGCAACTCACCCAGACATATATGTTTATATTTTACTTATCGTCCAGGGGTTGTGATCATCTATTTTCATAATTTATAAATGAAAAAGAAACAAATTAGAAATTATTCTCAACAACGCAAAAAGTAACAGCTGGCAATCTGATATTGAAGGAAGAGAACCCAACATACACACAGACACACAGACACACACACACACACACACACACACACACACGCACCAAAAGATACCTATATCAAGCAGACACAAGAACTCAAAAGTCTCATAATTGCAGAGAAATAACCATAAAGCCAAATAGTCCTAATTATCTCTATGATCTCTGGGGGCATCATTACATTATAGCCTGATAAAATAATTGACATTTATAATATGATAATCATCACAGTACCCCAAATTTATGTAGTTCACTGCTCATATGAGACTTATACATTCGTTATTATAGTTAATTCTCAAAATGTTTGAGTTACCCAGTCAAGTATTAGTGCCACACCAAATTTTAAATTTTGTGGCTCAGGGAAACTGAAGAACTTACCCAGGGTCACTTAACTATTAGACAGGTATTGGAGTTCACAGTCTACTGCACCATGACCCTGCGTCATCAAAAAATATTTACATTTTTGTGCCATATCATCTGATTGGTAAGTCAGGGAGGTGTGTGATACATTTTAGAAACTTCCTTTTGTGCTGATGTGATGGACACATCCACAGAAATTAATTTGAAACTTTTAAACTTTTAAGCCCTTATAGGAATAAAATTAAGTTAACATGAAAAATTCCCTTATATCCCCATTTCTCTACAGTGCCACAGAACTCTAAATTTAACTTACAGTGTTAGCAATAAATCCAGAACCATTAACTACCCTACATTTCAAAGTCTAAAATCTGCACATAAAGAACGAAAGAACATATATAGTACAATAATCACTTAGACTTGATTTATTTAATTTAAAAATATTATTAGAGTCTTCTTTCATGTATTTTAGGACCTAGGTGAACCTAAGTGAACCTAAGAACATCTCCTGAGAGAGTAGAGAAGGTGGATGTGGGATGATGCAATAGATGTCATGTGTCACAGCACTTCCCTCTTGAGCATTTAGCTTTGACAAATTAGAAACCTCAACTCTCAATTCTACAACATTTGGAGGTAAAAGAATAATATTTATAAATTTGTAATATTTATAAAAAAATAAGGAGAAATAAATTAGTTTTGTTCTTATTTTTGTTTTATTTTCTTTTCTTTTTAAACAGTTGATCTTTTCATAATAAAACACTATCCATCAAAAGGAAATAAGGGAGAAAAAATGAAAAACAAAGTTGCAGCTGCAAAAGTTCCCATACTACACCTTTTACCAGGGTAAAGCTTGCAGTCTGTTTAAAACCTTGATTTGTTATCATAAGAACACAATAAAATGCACAAAGTTTTAGAAAAATGGAACTATCTGCTTAATACTCTCAATGGATCACAATCGGCCATCACCATGGTAACCTCTGAATAACTATTTCCTAGCTAGTGCCAATTATGCACTGCTTTGGCCCTTGAAATCCCACTCAGTTTTTTTAAAAGCCTGGAATCTTTGAAAGAATAAAGCCCAACAGTTAAGTTCACACATACCCTCTTGTTCAGTCCGAGTCATTTCCTCAAGCTTCTTCTGTTTCAGTGTGTCCACCACATCGGCAAGGCTCCCTTTGCGGCGTTCTGGGGTTCCAAAAGTAACACTGCTCATTATCTCGCGGTCCCGACTCCCTTCGTCAGGCTTATGTGGTGAGGTAGAGGTATTTCGGAAGGAATACAGGGAACATAACTTATTATTCTCTGACTCCTAGAAAAACAAAATAAAATAAAACCATTAGAACATTTGTTTCTTTGCATACCGTTGGAGAAAAATCCCAAACTCAGAATAACAGCATAGGAGGCTTAGATGGACAAAAAATATGAACCATCTCTGCTTTAAAAATACTAAACATTAAAGAAGCAGTTATTTAAAAAACTCTCCTGAAATTGAAGATTAAAATTGTTTATTTTTTTTAATTAGAAACCAACCTAAGTGTTTCAAACCCTTAATTTTAAAACGGACACTTTGACTTCTTATTCATTTACAACCTTCATTTAAAATAGTTCGGATTCAATTATTAAGATTGGCAAAGTTTTTCTTTTAATTGGCACTTTCATTAAATGCTCTTCCCACAGCCTAAAAAATATGTACATCACAGTAACATTATCCTTGAATTTAGAAATAGAGAAATTAGCTTCAATATCCAATGTTAATTATTCAACAGAAAATATATAAAATATCTAAATCAGTGCCAGAAAGTTCACCAACCTGAACATTTTTGTGTGCTGGGGTTTGAGGAGAATCATTTTTTTCCCTAGCCATACATCTTTCAAAGTTTCAAAAACCTCTTTCTATTCCTTATCTTTACCACTTACACTTTAACACATAGTCACACACATTTAAAAGTGGTTTTGTTTTTATGTTTGTTTGAGTGATTGTTTTTAAAAGGACAAGTCTGCTACAGAAACATTTGCACAAGAATTACTTCACAATACAGAGAAGGTAGCTAACTGGGAAGAGGGTTAGATCCATCTGTGAGGAAAAAAATGCAAAACTGAGATTGAAAATAATAAGCACCTAAAAGTTTATAGGAAGAAAATGTTTTTACAGCTCTCTAAATCAGAACTGAGGGTTGGAAGCAACTGTTATTTAGCTACAGCCCATCAGTAATCTTACATTCACCTCATCTGTCTGGGCATGGGTATTCTCTTGCCCAATAAAACATCATATGAAATAAATAAAGCATCTGGCATTTGTGATTCTCATCAGAAGCATGAACATTTGAACTGCTCCTATATCTCTCTCCCCCTTCACAAAGAAGCCCAGCAAGCTTCAAGAACTAGAGGAAAAAACAGGAGGCAAAAGTTACAGTAATAACTGGTGGGAAAGGGGGAGAAAAGAATAAATGGAGCCTAGACAAGTATAGGTTCAAGATAACTGTACCCGATAAATGCTAGGCAATTAGAATTTTTGTCACTGTAGAAGATTAAATAAAACTTGTTTTCAGGGCTGTTGGGAGCATATTATGAGATAACATTTGTAAAGCACTAGGCACAGGACTGAGTTCTTAGGAGGTGGTATTTAATAAGTGGTGGGTACCATTATTCTGATGGAAGGAGCAGATCTAAGGATGGAACCAAGGCAGTTCTCTTCCCCTCTGAACCTAAGGAATTGTTTAGTAAAAAATGTTATGACTCTTAAAGTAAATTGCATACTGTGAAGCCTGAGTATATACTAAAAACCATTGAATTGTATACATTAAATGGGTAAATCGTGTGGTATGTGTACTATATCTCAATAAAGCCGTTAAAAAATATAGTAAGCCAAATCAGTCTTTTTTTTATTCCCAGTACTAGCACAATGCTTAGCACAGAACAGATGCTCATTACATTTGTACTGAAATAAATTGAAAAGGATAAAATAAATGGAGTAGGGCAGGAAAGAGAGTTCTTCTTTACCTTGCTCCTAGATCTGGGAAAGATTTTTTATTTCATTTAATGTTTACAATAACTCTGTTGAGTAATGCAGAGGAACCCCTTCTTTTAGATACCAGTCATGGTTAGTACGTGACTTCTTGGGATGGTCAGTTCATTCTCTGCTTTGTGCAAATGAAAACTCGGAAATGGGGGCACCTGGGCGGCTCAGTCAGTTAAGCATCTGCCTTTGGCTCAGGTCAAGATCTCAGGGTCCTGGGATAGAGCCCCGCGTTGGGCTGCCTGCTCAGCGGGGAGTCTGCTTCTCCCTCTCCCTCTGCCCCCCGCCATGCTCTCTCTCTCTTTCATTCCCTCTCTTTCAAATAAATAAATAAATAATCTTAAAAAAAAAAAGAAAAGAAAACACAAAAATGTGTTTTCCAAAGCCGTTTTGATCTCTTAGTAATGTCCTTATCAGAAATCTGACCTAGACTTTTTTGAACCAGTATCACCATTGGATCAATCATGCTTCCATCACTTTCATTTCAAGTGCAAACTAGTCTCATATCATAGCCTATAAATCAAAAACAAAAACAAAAAAACTCTGACTCAACCTAAGAGATTAAAGACCAAGTCAAAACAACAGTCATGTGGAAGTGGGTTACCTACAAATGAGCCACCATTGAACATACTAAAAAGGGCTTTGCCATCACTCCTAAATTGAAATAGAAAGACATTAGGAGTGGCTCTCCTGCCTGAGGAACAACTTTAAGTTGTCCTCAGAGTATTTAGGCTTCATACAGTACCATTTTTTTTCTGTCAGGTCTAATTTTAAACAGTTTTATTTACTCATGTCATTTGTGAGATAGACTGCTTTCTTTGTTTGTTTGTTTTTTTAACTTAGGGGAATGTAGCCACCGCCATCCTACATCACAGACAATCACCATGGGTTCCCACACCAATGACCCACACTGTCCTCAGTCCCATAATCTGTGCAAAGTGGCTCAACATTTCCAAAAAGCAGAGAGCAAGAAGCTGAAAAGTCATGATTTTTCAAAAAAAGGGACAAGATGTCACAATATGTCACCAGGCACCAACTTAGGCAGTGGATAAAATCATCAATGGCGTAAATAATCTAAGTCATCTTATACCATTCTTAGGAACAAGGGAAAGGTGCAAATTTTACCATTTCTGGCCCTCATTTTTTAACTTTCTAAAACTTAAGGAATAATGGCCTCTCATGAATGGAGGCCTATAGGCAATTCATCTGTGTAAAGGGGTACTTAAGTCCAAACACTTACAACGAAGACAGTACTGTTGGATAAAAGGCAGTAATACCAAATTAGAAAAAGAAACTTGACAAAGGATCTCTAGGGTTTTTTTTTTAAGGAACTAGGCAATTTTTAAGTAAGTTTTCTTAAGGGAAAAAAAGTTCAACTTATTATGTAATTTCCTAAAAATGAAACAGGTCCTATGAAATATCAGTTTGAGGAAAGATGCCCAATGATAATATCTGTGGTGTCTTAATGCATGTCACTGCTGCATGACTGTGGAGAGATTTGAGACAGTATTTCCCTAAAGCAATGGTTCTCAAACTTCAATGTTTACAATTCCCTAGCAAATATGTTAAAATGCAGATTCCCTCACCTCCCTCTATACCCCCCAAGGGTAGGGCCCAGGAATATGGAGTTTGATAAACATCCCAAGTGATTCCAATGTATAGGTCCTTTCATTCTGATGCATCCCACTTTAAGAAACATTGATCCCTATGAAAGCAATGAAATAAATGCTTTGCCTAAATGCTACAATATGGGTATAATTATGAAAATTTTTAAGAAGGCTGGTTAGTTTTAATTTAAAAAAAATAACATAAAGGAGATTACTTCTCTTCTTTTGTTCTTGTGAAAACGACCACTGTACAACATGACTAAACAAATGAACATCACAACAAGCAGAGCATATGGGGACTGAGTTAGCATTAGTTCATTCAGAGGCAATTTACTATAAATTTGTTTTCTCTCAACCCCAACCTCAGTGGCACCATCAAACCTAACAGTGAAGATAATTTTTGAAATATTGTTTAAAAGGATCCCAGTCCCAATACAAGAACTAAAGCAACTTTGGTTCAGATTATCTAAAGAGCTTTTTGCTGGAAATCAATTAAATACAATACAAAATGATATGCAGGTGCCTGAAAAAGCACACAGTCATACAAAAAAATAGTCATTAGGCAAAGTTTCTAGAAGACACAAGCAATTTTCACAAATTAAAAACATTTAATTAAGATGTTTCCATGTTTGAAGGGGATAGAAAAGTAAATATTAAAGACAAAACATATGTGAGGTGATGGATGTCAACTAAACTTATTGTGGTCATCATTTCACAATACATATGTGTGTCAAATAATTACGTTCTACACGTCAATACAACGTTGTCAATTATATCTCAATAAAACTGGAAAAACATTTTAAAATAAATATTGCCCAAATCTTTCAGAGGTTGTTATTCAAAACAGATTGCTCAGCAGTGGCAACAGAAAGACGTTAGACTTAAATCGCCTTCTCATGGTACTGTGAATATATCAAACACACGCAAATTTTTGAGCTTTTGTGCTTCATGTTCCTTTCCTCTAGAATGTCCTACATTCTTTTTGACTATTCACTCAAACCCCTCCTCAAAGCTCAGATCAAATTGCGTTTCATCCTTGAAGTCCTGCCTGACTATACTGGGCCTCACTACCCTCCTACCCCCTGAACTATACATTGAAGCACTGAATCAGAACCACACAACTTGGCACTTAATAATATACTAGAATAAGTTATTCATTATTATTTTACATGTATTAGTCATATTTGCAACTAAATTTTAACACTTGAAGGATTAGGGCTATGTCTCATGTTTCTTCTACATACCCCCCCAGAGCACCCATCAAAATGTTAAGTACATCATCAGCTGCTGAACTTGAAACAACTACTCACCAAATATGTCAAAAATAATTTAAAAAATAAGGCTAAGAGTAAAGATTTGTTCTAATAGTGGCAGGATTGCTTATTTAAGCAAAATATTGAGAACTGAAATATTAAAAAAAATTAAGGATTCATTTAATAAAAGATGATATAGCTACACAATGGAATACCACATAGCCATTAAAAACAATATTATTTATGTTGAAAATAGAGTTGTTTATAATGATGGACAATTACACAACTTACATGTCCAATTTTAGGGATCATTCTGAGGGCATCAGGGTTTCATCCAGAGGGTAGAATAATTTGAAATTATTGAAAATCCTATTTTTACAGAAAATGTAGTGACATGTGGGAATATTCATAATGTATTTTTGGTAAAAAGTGT